TTTTGAAAGTCAAAACCCCTTAAAAACCCAAAACAAAAACTTAAATTAATTTAATCAATATAATTTCTATCAAAAATTAATGTATATATATAATCTGTAGCTATATATACGTATATATATAATCTTCATCATTTTACATGTATATATACTGTAGCTATATATATGTATATATATAATCTTCTTTGACTTTGGTTTGGACGTTTATTGTGCTTCGTTGACGATGATGCTCACCAAAAGCATCATCAGCCCAATACAATTCAACATTTTAGCTGAGTACAAACTTACCCAAAAAAAGAAAAAAACTTTTTCTTAAAGAATCCAAATCAAAAGAGAATTAAAAATCCATTTCCACAAATTCCAAGCCTCCATTCTCTGAATGAATGTCATTAAAAATTACAAATCAGAAAATAAATTTCTCAGCCAAATCCATTGGAAACAGTAAGAGAGAGAGTAAGAGAAAAAAAAAAAAAAACTTCTTAGATCTGTAGGTTTTTTTTTCTTGAGCTCATTCTTTCTGGTATGAACTGAATGAATATGTTCGCCATTGATTCTGATGTCCACCAGTGATCCTTCTCTCTCTTGCTTCTCTCAAATGCACATTGGTGAATGAGAAATGTTAAACAAAAGTTATATATATAAAGGCAAAATAGTCTTTTTACTTCTGATGTTAACGATGAGGGTGTTTAGCAAGGAAAAAAATAGCCTAGTTTAGGCTAAAATTCACAAAAAGACAAAATAGGCTAAAATAGCTAATAAGACAAAATATTACATCAAACTCATAATCATTTCACTTTTTCTCTCACAAACATCACATCCAACCACAAAAAAATCCTATCATCTTCCCAAACACAAAAATTTTAGCCTACTAAAATAGCCAAAACCTAAAATAGCCTACTAAAATAGCAACTTCCCAAACGAAGCCGGTGTTAAGTGTACGCATTACTCCATTAACCACAAAAGAAATTATAAGATAGGGTAAATTACACTGACACCCCCTGAGGTTTATATTTATTACAGTTCTCCCCTCACCTTTTGAAAATTACATCTCCCCCTTGAGGTTTAAAGTTTGTAAGAGAAAAAAAAAAAAAACTTCTTAGATCTGTAGGTTTTTTTTTCTTGAGCTCATTCTTTCTGGTTTGAACTGAATAAATATGTTCGCCATTGATTCTGATGTACACCAGTGATCCTTCTCTCTTTTGCTCTTCTCAAATGCACATTGGTGAATAAGAAATGTTAAACAAAAGTTATATATATAAAGGCAAAATAGTCTTTTTACTTCTGATGTTAACAGTGTTAAGTGTACACATTACTCCATTAACCACAAAAGAAATTATAAGATAGGGTAAATTACATTGACACCCCCTGAGATTTATATTTATTACAGTTCTCCCCTCACCTTTTGAAAATTACATCTCCCCCTTGAGGTTTAAAGTTTCATTACAGATTCACCCCCTTAACAATTTAATTTTTTTAAATACCAATTTTGCCCTAACTAGGTAAATTACATTGACACCCCTCACATTTTAGAAATTACAATCCCCTCCCTAAGGTTTAAAGTAGCATTACCAATTGCCCCCTCAATTAGTATTAGTTGGAAAAAAAATTCATTGGAAAAAAAATTATTTGAAAAAAAAATTAATTGAAAAAAATTTTGTTAGTAAAAATTTTAAATTTCTGTTTAAAAACCAACGTAAGCTCATTTTTTGAATTTATGTTTTTTTCTCAAATTTATAAACTGAGATAACCATTTATAAACCAAAAACATTATCAAACAAGTTTTTATGACAGTTTTTTAAATTTTTGTAAATATAAATTAAAAACTGAAAACAAAATGGTTACCAAACAGGTTTCAAATGATAAAAATGTCGTAAAATTAACAAATAATTAAATAAGTTACCAACGTAAGAAGTGACTTATCAAAAAATTATTAGGTTATGTATGGTTTGATTTTTAGAAAAAAAAATTAAAAATTAAAAATTAATTTGGTTGAGAAATAAAAAATAAAAAAATAATTATCATTTTTATATAATTTTTATCTTTCGAGTGGTTAAAAATATTTTTTTACAAATTAAAATGAAACAACCATACGTATGTATATAACCTGCCCAAAAATTAAAATGATAATTATTTTTTACCCTTAAATGATAATTATTTTTTATTTTTTATTTCTTAACCAAATTAATTTTTAATTTAAAAAAAAAAATCTAAAAATCAAACCATACATAGCTTAAGAATTTTTTGATAAGTCATTTCTTACGTTAGTAACTTATTTAATTATTTGTTAATTTTACGACATTTTTATCATTTGAGATCTGTTTGGTAACCATTTCATTTTTGGTTTTCAATTTATATTTACAAAAGTTTTAAAAATTGTCATAAAAACTTGTTTGATAATTTTTTTTGTTTATAAATGATTGTCTCAGTTTGTAAATTTGAAGAAAAAACGTAAATTCAAAAAATGAGTTTACATTGGTTTTTAAATAAAAATTAAAAAATTTTACTAACAAATTTTTTTTCAATTAATTTTTTTCCAATTAAATTTTTTTTCCAACTAATACTAACCGAGGGGTAATTAGTAATGTTACTTTAAATTTTAGAGAAAGGATTGTAATTTCTAAAATAACAGTGCTAGGAACCCCCAGTGGGGGGTGACCCCCAGCACCCTCATCTCCACGTGAGGCTCTCTCACAGCAAGACTAAAAAAAAAAAAAATTGAGCCAATCAAAAAACAGTAGAGGTGGTGGGGGCCACCCCCACCGGGGGTCCAAGATATTTTTCTTTCTAAAATGTGAGAGATGTCAATGTAATTTATTTAATGAAGGCAAAATTAATATTTAAAAATAAATAAATTATTAAAGAAAAAATCTGTAACGAAACTTTAAATCTCAAAAAAATATATAATTTTTAAAAAATAAAAAGAGAATTATAAGAAATATAAACTTTAAGAAGTGTCAGTCTAATTTACCCGATAAGATAATATTCAAACGTGAAAAAATAATCTACACATGATTCAAACGATAAGAGATAAAGTGAAGTGTGTCCCTTTTAAAATTGAATAATGACTTGGACCCCTTTTTTTCCCACCTCCTTGACCCCCTCTTCACTTGATTGGTTACTTTTTCTTTTTTTCTTTTTTTTTATTCTTTCTCTTCCAATCACTATCTGCCACGTGTCTGTGGAGATGGTAGGGGTGGTGATTGGAGGGAGTCTCAATCATCACCCAAACAAAAAAAAAAAAAAAAAAAAAAAAAAAAAAAAAATTGGCCAACCAGTGGACGACACGCACGACCCCCGAGCAACTCCACTGGGGTCGGAAGCTTTATTGAAAGAATAGAGAATAATGAAAAATGAGTCAGACCCCCTTTGTAGAGGATCCCCATAACCCCTTTACTGATCTATACCATTCATAATGTGTGAGGTCCACTCATATATGTGTAGGATTCACATCATAAATGGTGTAAATCAGAAAGGGGATTGTAAGGGTCCTCCACAAAAGGTCTCTATCATTGCTGGAGAATAATATGCGCACGAATTGGTGTGTAGGAATGATGATGAGCATTGTTTTCAGCGAAGAAAAATGCTTGGGAGCACTAATTAGTGCTCCCACTAATTAGGTGGCAGTGGGTCCCGCCATTAATGATGTGATGTTTTGGTCTTGGAGTTGTATTTTTTTTTTTTTTTACTTTTTTAATACATTAGTACTATTAGTGGTGATGTTTTTAGTGGGATGAATCATTGTTGATATACTAATTAGTGTTCTACATCTAGAGGTTTAGTGGAGGCCAACTCATTAGTCTCTATATTTGGAGCTCCTAATTTTTTTCCATATTTTATTTCCTCTACAGAGAGTATTCTATGTGAGCATATATAGACGATGTGGGTGTTTAGAAATTGTTATTTTAGTAGGTTATTTCAATTTTTGATTATTTTAATAGGTTAAAATATTTATGTTGGAGAGGAAGATTATTTTTGTAGTTAGATGTGATATTTGTGATAGAAAAAGTAAAATGATTATGAATTTAATGTGATATTTTATTTGATTGACTATTTTAACCTATTTTTGTCATTTTGTGAATTTTAATTTTTTTTTCATTGAATTTTTTTTCCAACTAATACTAACCAAGGGGTAATTGGTAATGTTACTTTAAATTTTAGAGAAAGGATTGTAATTTCTAAAATAGCAGTGCTAGGGACCCCCAGTAGGGGGTGACTCCCAGCACCCTCATCTCCACGTGAGGCTCTCTCACAGCAAGACTAAAAAAAAAAAAATTTTGAGCCAATCAAAAAACAGTGGAGGTGGTGGGGGCCACCCCCACCGGGGGTCCAAGATATTTTTCTTTCTAAAATGTGAGAGATGTCAATGTAATTTATTTAATGAAGGCAAAATTAATATTTAAAAATAAATAAATTATTAAAGAAAAAATCTATAACGAAACTTTAAATCTCAAAAAAAATATATAATTTTTAAAAAATAAAAGGAGAATTATAAGAAATATAAACTTTAAGAAGTGTCAGTCTAATTTACCTGATTAGATAATATTCAAACGTGAAAAAATAATCTACACATGATTCAAACGATAAGAGATAAAGTGAAGTGTGTCCCTTCTAAAATTGAATAATGACTTGGACCCTTTTTTTTCCCATCCCCTTGACCCCCTCTTCACTTGATTGGTTACTTTTTCTTTTTTTTTCTTTTTTTTTATTCTTTCTCTTCCAATCACTACCTGTCACGTGTTTGTGGAGATGGTAGGAGTGGTGATTGGAGGGAGTCTCAATCATCACCCAAACAAAAAAAACAAATTTGACCAATCAGTGGATACATGCACGACTCCCGAGCAACTCCACTAGGGCCGGAAGCTTTATTAAAAGAATAAAGATAATGAAAAATGAGTCAGACCCTCTTTATAGAGGACTCCCGCAACCCTTCTACTAATTTACATCATTCATAATGTGCGAAATCTATTCATATATGCGCACGAATTGGTGCGTATGAATGATGATGAGCATTTGTTTTCAGCGAATGGGGGAGTCCACGTCACTGGGGTCGGAGCCACTGAGGGTCTGAAGCACTTCTCTTATTCTTTAAGGAAGGAAGCCGAAAGTCGCCGTCCACATTTTACTCTCTCTCTCTCTCTCCCCAACGAAACCACCATTAATGGCTGCTTCAATCATCACAACAACCTTTCACGTAAAACCAACCCAATCTGTAAAGATATCTACATCACCATATCTATCAAAATTCACAAAACCCAGAACAACAACCAAAATAAAGGTCTCTCTCACCCCAGTTGCAACTCTTTCCGATCCATTTGTCCTCCAAATCGCAGAAACCCTAGAAGACTCTCTATCTTCCACCTCCACTTCTTCACCACCATCCCCTCTTCAAAAGCTCAGAGACACCTCTTCACAGTCCCTCCTTTCAACCCCATGGCCGTCCCGCAAAGACGAGCCCTTCCGATTCACTGACACTTCCTTCGTAAAACTCTCTCAGATTCAACCCATTTCACACCCACCTCAATCTTTCAATTCTTTGGGTGTTTCCACAGATACCCATTTGCCCACCCTCACAATTGTTGATGCGTTCAATGTAAATTCTCTATCCCAATTACAGAATTTGCCTAATGGAGTGTTTGTTGGTAGTTTATCTAGCCTCAATTCAGAGGCTATAATGAAAAGGGTGTCTGAATTTGAGTCCAGTTTTGAAGGAGACTTGTTTTGGTCTCTTAATGGAGTTGGTGCTCCGGATTTGATTGTTGTGTATGTTCCAGAGGAGTGTAGAGTAGAGAGTCCTTTGCATTTGAGGTATTATTCGATTGAAGGGGGCGATAGCGGATCGAAGAAGTTGCCCATTTCGAACCCGAGGGTTTTGGTGTTGGTGGAGAAGGGAGGGGAGATTGGAATAGTTGAGGAGTATGTAGGAGGTGATGGGGAGAAGTGTTATTGGGCAAATTCAGTTACAGAAGTTGTGATTGGAGAAGGGGGAAAGGTTAGTCATTCTTACATTCAAAGCCAGTCTTTGAATGCTGCACATTTCAAGTGGACTTCGGTTCGGCAGGTACCTTTGTTAAATTGTTTGAGTTCTCATCATTATGGGCGGTATCATATTCTGTGACAAATTATGCAGGCATAATGTTAGTCTATATTTGCTTACTTTAGTTATATTTTCATGGTAATTCTAATCAAATTAGGCAAATCAAAGTCTTCCCCTTTTTTCCCTTGCATAGAATAAACAAAATTTACTCGTGCCAATGTTTAATTGCCAATTGGGGACTGCAAGTAGCAACCCTTTGCTGAACAATTCCGCAGGAAAGATGTAAAAGATACAAATATTTTGTTGCTGGTTATCCAAAAATTATTTGTGGAACATTGGTTATTTTTCAACCTATTTCCGTCTTCAACAATTATGCACAACAATTTTTTAGTCTGATTTCCTTTGGAATGGTTACACTTCTATTGCGGTTACCCATAAGCTTTGCAGAGAATAATGTAAGATAGTTTTGAATCAACTCTGCCTGCCTAGGTTAACCTATGTGGTGCTTAGGCTTCAGCTAAGGCATGTTGAGGCAACCTCGAAGGAGTCTCTTAGGTGCACTGCACCTTCCTTTCTTGCCCGTGCAAACTGTCCGCCCAAGTACTCCCATCTCTACTCATTGTGATACACTTAGTCATTAATGAGCAGGGAATAGGCTTGTGTATCAAGAAACTTTATAGTTAGATCGGATGTGGGACTTCCCTCAGCTTGGCAGAGTGGTCCTCCACCCAAGAGGACTGTCCCTTTGGGTTGGTTCTCCAAGCGTATCTTAATGCTCTCACACCAAACTAGGTCAGGAGTAGGACCTAGGGACCTCCTTGGGATTGTTGTCACGGTCATGAGGCACTCAAGCTGCACAAGATCACTGGGGTCTTATGGATTGATGGCTAGAATTAAATGTTCATCAAGATTCCTTGTCCTTTCCTCCCTCAATGGGCTTGCACCTTGACCAGTCTTAGAAACATAAAGATCTCCACAATGACAATCCCAAACTAAGACAAAGACATGTAGTGCGCTCTGTATTTTGTACCTCTTTATACCTAAGGAATACTCTTGACCACCTCTACAATCCTTCTGGCATTTGACAATTTGCACTACTGCAACTTGATATATTTTTGGACTGCTTAGACCTTTGCATTGAATAGGATGGTGATATGTGATTCTTGTGTAAATATAGTGTTCTGATTTGGAGTTGCAAGGAAAAAGAAATTGTAGTTGAAAAGATTAGGGCTCTTTCGTAGGGATGCTCTTTTTGACAATGTAATCAAAGGTCTTATTGGAATACTTTGCAAATTTCACGAGGACTAATCTTAAGAAGTTGGTGATACCTGCCTGATCAAGTTATCACTTAGATGGTTAGCATGTTGTATTGGAAACAATGCATATTGAGTTCTGGTTGCTCTATTATACTTCCTTGCATTCTTATCTTATTTTATTTTGATATTTTAGGGAACCATTAGTTGGTTAAGGTGATATTCAAGAAACTTCAGTGTATCAACTCCTGCCAACCGAGGGAAATATTTTTGATGGAATGTAACTTGATTTGTGTGATCCCAATCTTGTCATGTCAATTGTTATGCCTGTTCTGCATCTTCCTGATTTTTATAGGCAATGAATTTATCTAGCAACAGTAGATGTACAACCTCCAAAGAAATACATTAAAGGGTTGAACCTAACTTTACCATTTGCAGGAATCAGCAAGCTCCTACGAGCTCATAGAGGTAAGCACCGGAGGGAAGTTGAGCAGACACAATCTTAATGTTCAGCAAGTTGGCCCAGATACGGTAACAGAGTTATCAACTTTTCACCTGTCTGTCGGTGATCAAACACAAGATCTGCATAGTAGACTTGTGTTGGACCACCCACGAGGGTTTTCTCGGCAACTTCACAAGTGTATTGTGGCTCATTCTCTTGGACAAGCTGTATTTGATGGGAATATCAAGGTCAACAGGTAATTGTGTTTACTTGCATTTTTTGCAGTGCTTGCCATCATGTCATTTATATGCTAGTGTCCGTCATTGGTTATGCGATTACGCTATCCTCATCACTGGTGTTAAATGTGTGTATCTTTCATTTTGAATTAACGGGCCAGTTCTTTATACATCTAGGGTGGGTTTGGGGTTTTCTTTTTTTTAAAAGGAAAACCTGATATGTTTGGGAAGTTGCTTTTTTGTGAGTGGGAAAGTTGAGTTAGTCCTTTACTTTTTTAGCTGATGACCAAACATTTTTAACTTAGCCCAATCAGGGTCTTAGTAAATGCCTTTGGCTATTTGGAGTAAACTAACAGCTTTTTAGTAGTTTTTGTTTGTTTGTTTGTTTGTTTTTTTTTTTCTCATTTGGGGTAAGCTTAAAAGATGGCATCAATGTTTCACAAGTGTAATTCATCGTGCAGATATGCACAGCAGACAGATGCTGGGCAACTTACAAGAAGCCTTCTTCTTGAGCCTCGTGCAACCGTAAATGTCAAGCCCAATCTCCAGATCATTGCCGATGATGTAAGGTGCTCCCACGGAGCTGCAATAAGTGACCTAGAAGAAGACCAACTGTTCTACTTCCAGGCTCGTGGAGTTGACTTGGAGACAGCTAGAAGAGCTCTCATCTTCTCTTTTGGAGCTGACGTGATTGAGCGTTTGCCTTACGCTTTCCTCCAAAAGAAAGTTGAAAGTCAGATCAAAGAGTTGCTTGATCCTACACTCAAAAGTTCGCTGTGAGAGAGGATAGATTGTGTAGAAATCTGAATTTGTTCTGTAAATTATCACTATTTTACAGAAGAAAAGTGTGTTCCTATTAGAATTAAAGGAAGTTTTGTGATATTGAAAGTGAATTGTGCTTAATGTGCCTCCCTTCCTTCCTCTCTAACAAGAACCAAAAGGAGGGGGGGGGGGATGGGTTAACATTTGTTTGTAAAAGTTCGCTCTCTTCCCAAACCTAACAATTGTAATTACTGTTATTTTGTAATTTTCTTGTTGATTCTGCATCTTGAAATGAATTTGACCTTCATAAACTATTTTAACAATTAGAGCTTGAACAAGCATGTGTTTTCTTTGAACAAACTTGATTATCTAGTTTCAGATACTCCATTGACTACGTAAGAATAAAATAAAATCTAATATCTCAACTTTTTAGTTTGTAAAGAGATGGATTCCAACACGGTGAGATTTCAAATTTCACATTTCTTACATGACCTATTATGATTGCCAAGATCAAAACTAAACAGAGATGTAAGATAAATTGTAATATTAGTTAATTAAAAAAAAATTATTTTTGGAGAAAATAGTTAATTAAGATTAAATATATAAAAATCCTTGTTATACGGAAGGTGACTGTTATTTTTGTAAAGTATAGACAAAGCCAATCCCGAGCATTCATAGCCTCATATCATTTTTACCAACTAAACATGATTTATGAGAGGTATAATGAATCACCTATGAAGAAAGGGGTAAAATAGAGATTTGGGTGGTAAAAAAGGGGATAACAATGAGAAAATATTAATGGACAAGCCTATATACTAGAAAATTTACTCAAAAACATGAATGATGTGGATTTAGTTTTGTTGTCCTGAGCCCATCTCATGAATAAATTTGAGCTTTAGATTTCAAATTCTAGATAAATTTTGAGTTCTGTTTTCTAGATTTGCAGATCCACAGAAAATATGTAAGGGGAGATACATAGAAGGATTAGAAAATGATAGGGCAACTGATCCAATGGTTCATGAGATTCAAAATTTTGAAAATTACATTTCACTCTTTGAAATTTTTAATTTCATACCAAGTGACTACTTTTATTAATACAGTAATGATTCAGACCCCCACAAAACATCACATCCACAATCCCCACTCACTTGTGATTAGTCCAAGTAAGAAAGAAAAAAAAATAAAATAAAATAATACAACCACAGCATTAGTCTACATTACCGTGGGGGTGGTGAGGGTCTCCCCAAAAGGAGGTCCCAAACATTTTCCTTATTAATAATCATCAAGTTGATTAACAAATTTTAATAATGTCTAAATTTATTTTTATTAATAATTCAAGTAATTTTATTATTGTATGAAAGAACATATGAAAATTTTATTTTTTTAGTTAATTTTGTTAAAAAATTAACAAATTTTTATAATTTTTTAAATCACATAGGACAATCCATAATTTAAGCAAATCATAAAGGTATGTAATTGACCAGGGAAAAAAAATAATAAAAAAATAAAAAATAAAAAATTGAGAAAGTAAATAAACAAAAAAAAAAATTGGGTAAGATCCACCGAAGTGGGTAGCCTTAACCGGATGTGTGGTAACAGGTAAGCTCGAAAGCTGTTCCCGTCCCTGTCAGGGGAGATGCCAACCATCTCTCCTTTCTACGAACACGGTATGTTTATTTCCCTTCTTGATATATAACCATTGACAAACTCATGTTTAGAACCGATGTGGGATTCAAGCATAAGCTCTTTTATCCTAAGTTCTTCTAGGGTTTTTGGGATAAGGTCCTCAAAAATTATCCGAAACGACCAAAACTCAAGAGATTTCATCAACTAAACCTCTCTCTCCCCATGGCTACAACTCTCTCCACAGCTCCATATCTCCATTGCAACATACCATACACTTCAGACACAAAGCTAAGAAGAAGATTCACCATTTCATGTGCTTCCTCCAAATCTCCTCCAAAGCCTCCGCCGCCAGAATTGGATGAGCCACCCCAACAAAACCCATCTCTCTCCGACCAACTCAGGCCTATCTCCACCACCCTCCTCTCCGACCACCCCACCAAAACCCACCTCAAATCAAACCCCAAATCCACTTGGGTCAACCCCACTCGCCCTAAACCCTCTGTTCTCTCCCTCCACCGCCACAAAAGACCTCATCAGTACTCTCACACCCCTCAATTCAGAGACCTCAAGCTCTTTGCCCAGAAGCTCAATGACTCTGACACCACCTCTGGAGCTGCTTTCTTGGCTGTTCTTGAAGAAATCCCACACCCTCCCAACAGAGAAAATTCCCTCTTGCTTCTCAACAGCTTGAGGCCATGGCAGAAGACTCTTCTTTTCTTCAATTGGGTCAAGACCCAGAACTTGTTTCCTGTAGAAACTATCTTCTACAATGTCACAATGAAGTCTTTGAGGTTTGGTAAGCAGTTTCAACTCTTAGAAGACCTTGCAAATGAGATGATTAACAATGAGGTTGAGCTTGATAACATTACTTATTCTACTATAATCACTTGTGCCAAAAAGTGCAACATGTTTGACAAGGCTGTGGAGTGGTTCGAGAAGATGTACAAGACTGGTTTGATGCCTGATGAGATCACATACTCTGCCATTTTAGATGTGTATGCTAAGTTGGGGAAGGTTGAGGAGGTGATGAGTTTGTACGAGAGAGGGCGGGCGAACGGGTGGAAACCCGACCCAATTGCTTTTTCTGTGTTGGGGAAGATGTTTGGTGAAGTTGGGGATATTGATGGCATTAACTATGTGTTGCAAGAAATGAGGTCAATTGGGGTGAAGCCTAACTTGGTTGTGTACAACACATTGTTGGAAGCAATGGGTAAGGCTAAGAAGCCCGGCTTGGCTAGGAGTTTATTTGAGGAAATGGTTGATTCCGGTGTCACTCCAAATGAGAAAACACTAACCGCGCTTGTGAAGATTTATGGCAAGGCAAGGTGGGCACGAGATGCTTTGGAGTTATGGGAGAGAATGAAGTCGAACGCGTGGCCAATTGATTTCTTTTTGTACAACACATTGTTGAGTATGTGTGCAGATCTAGGGTTGGAGGAGGACGCAGAGAGGTTGTTTGAGGAGATGAAGGGATTGGAGCATTGTAGGCCCAATAGTTGGAGTTACGCTGCGATGCTCAATATCTATGGCAGTGGTGGGAATGTGGATAAGGCAATGAAGGTGTTCGATGAAATGTCTGAGTTGGGTGTTGAGCTGAATGTAATGGGATGTACTTGTTTGATGCAATGCTTGGGGAGGGCTAAGAGAATTGATGACTTGGTTAGAGTCTTTGAGGCCTCAATGGAGAGAGGTGTCAAGCCAGATGATAGGTTGTGTGGTTGCTTGTTGTCTGTTGTGTCCTACTGCAAGGAGAGTGAAGATGTAAACAAAGTACTTGCTTGTTTACAGAAAGCAAATCCGGAATTGGTTGCCTTCATCAAATTGCTCAAGGAAGAGAAAACTGGTTTCGATACCATCAAAGAGGAGTTCAAAAGCGTACTTAACAAAACAACAGTTGATGCACGAAGGCCCTTCTGTAATTGCTTAATTGATATATGTCGAAATTGGAATCTCCATGAGAGAGCCCATGAGCTTCTTTATGTAGGGACCGTGTATGGTTTGTACCCAGGATTACATACCAAGACATCAGAGGAATGGTGCTTGAATGTTCGGTCACTGTCAGTTGGTGCAGCCCAGACAGCATTTGAAGAATGGATGGGGACTATAATGAAAATCGTTCAGAGCCATGCGGCATTACCAGAGTTATTTTATGCCAACACTGGTGCAGGAACTCACAAGTTTGCTCAAGGACTGGCTAGCGAGTTTGAATCACATGCTGAGAAACTTGGTGCACCGTTTAGGCAGAGTGAAGAGAGAGCTGGGTTTTTTGTGGCAACTAGAGAAGATATAGTATCATGGGTACAATCTAGGGTTTAATCTCTTCTTGTTACCGCGTAAATCAAGAGTTGAGTGTATCACATTTGCAATTAGGGTTTTGATTTCTGTGTAACTGCACAGATTGATAGACCACGTGTGTAATTACAGAAGCAACAAAATTTGATAAAAATTTCCAACTCATGTAAACCGCATTTGGCGGGAAATTCACCAACAAAATTACAGATGCTCATCTTTGACAAGGAAACTAAACCCCAACCGAATTACAGCCACATTTTTTTTTCTTTTTGCTATAAAAAGAAACAAAGAGACAGAAATGAAAGAAAAGAGCCTCCATCAATGCAAAATCTTTAGAAAAAAGAAAAGAAAGGGATGTATCCTTTTTCTAAAGATCAGTTCCCATCAACCCCCATCAACAAAGATCAGTTCCCATCAACCCCCATCAACAAAATTCCTATCTTTCCGTCCTAAAACCTATATTTTGGCATGAACTTTGAGTTGATGAAATATCTAACATTAGCCTTTGCCATGATCCTGTGGGGTTCCCCCTTTTTAACTGTATGCTTGCAGAGCGAAAGAGTCCTCCCATTGACCGATGAAAAGAAGGTCAGCTTTGGAGCTTCCAAACCACTGGTGAATACCCCGGCTCAAAGGATCAGAGCTGCAACTTCACTTGAATGCGAACGATGTCACCACCAATTTTGAGATATTTGACAGATTGAAGGTTTTACGGGTATTTTCCTGAGGACTTCCAAATTCTTCCTTCAAGTGATATCACCATCACTGTAACATCATCATGGTATTTTCTGCGATCACCTTGGGGGATGTCCAGCAATTCATGGAAACCCATTCCTGCATGCCCAAATAAAAACTAGGTCTAAAAACGAAGACTTGAGAAAACATGTGGAAGAACATTATGTAATTGCGTCAATTGAAAAATGTGAGTTGAATACAACACAAAAATAACTATGTCAAGCTGTGAAAACCGTTATAAACTACAATAAGAGTTATATAAAAATAATAATTTCATAACCAAAAGTAACCAACTTCAAGCCCTGGAGTCTTCTCACAGAGAAATTCACAAGGAAACCGTTTCACATTAACCAGAAATGTAAAGTCAAAACAAGAAGATACTACCTCAGAGTTTAGTTTTCAACAAAATAGTAGATGAAGGATATCAGGTACATTATGTAACCCAAAAAATATATATATATATATTAAAAATAGATAACAGGGTGCATAATGAATTAAAGCATTCTAGTAAAGCATTGCTGCTCCAAAGGTTATGTAATACCAGAATAAACAAAATCTGATCCATCACATTTTTAGAACCATGTCTACGACCTGAACTCTCTCAACAATTGGAATCCCATCTCAGTGCCCCAAAAAGAGGGGATGGGGGGGAATAGAAAAAACATATCAAAAAAGCATTCTCTTCCACAATCAGTCAGGCATTTTTGCAGAGTCATGGCTCCCAGAGTTCTGAAAATTCAATTAGAAGGCAAAGACCTGTTGAACAAGTGGGTTGAAGATAGTTGCTAAAAAACTTCAGTTGAAGAGTGGGGATTGAAACTTCAATTAGGGCACAAATGAAACCATTTAGGATGGTGACCATCTAGCGATTACGGATTCTTCCACTGACGTAAAACATATTAGGAAACTTGAACCTAAAACTACCAACAACAGGAATTGTGGTGGGTTTTGTTTTGGAAAGCTTCTAGAGCTAGTGTAAGACAGAGAAGAAACTATTTAGGGTTTACAGTAGGACTTTACTGAAATTAGCCTTGATTTCCAAAATTACAAGCATCACTTAGAGAAAGAAGAAGATACCCTAACAAATATCACTTAGAATTCGTTAGAAATAACCACTTAAGATAAGATTAAACAAAGTACACCCAAAGCTACAAAAGCTTCACAAAATTTCTCTAAAACACAATTCTTGTGAATAGCAAGATTACATATGGATTTGTAAGTCACTAGTGGGTGCTACAGTCCAAATTTCTGCGTGCATGGGGAATTCAATGATCATTCGATTACTCCAGTTTAACAGCGGAACAGTTAATCCTGAATTTAAGGGATCAAACATTATATTGGAATGTCCATCTCTTCCCAGTATACCAAATCAAACATTGGAATACATTTGAGATACAATTGCCGGTCCATTGAACTAATACGTGATTTAGGGGAACCCCATGAATCATTAGTAATTAGATATGGTGACACAGCTTTGAGTCCAAAGCATCACAAACAACAAGCACTTTATAAAACCAATTCAAAGAAGATAGAAAAACAGACTCTTCCTCTTGAACTTAGACTAGCATCTATATCTGTAGTTGGTGTGTGTTTCTTCACAAACAAATCCAGACAAACCAGAAGCGGCTATAACTTTGTGCGTTGAACAAATAATTTGATGACAAATAGCAACAGAAGTGACTTGTGTAGATCTTTTAAGAAATTTTTTTCACTAAACTCATGCACGATAGGACAAATTATGGAAAACTTTGAAAGAATAATTGCATGACAATTTGAGCGAGGGGGGAAGCCCAGCAATCAATCTCTTAAAAATCCAAGCGAAAGACCAATATAGTTGGGGGCAACAAAATAAGAATCACTTGAGGACTGACGATATATCAACTCGATAAACCACAGACTGTCTGTAAACTTAAAATATTGGGAATCTATACCCACTATGTAACTAATAATCATGCCTCGGTAACCAAAAAAAATGTAGAAGCCAATGTAGATAGTTTCAAATTTAAAATATCTACTTGATTAGATATGCTTGTCCAACATTAGTCTTGTGTACATCCTATCCTACAAATTTTGCAGATACCAATTCTCAGGGTCAGGTTTGTACATCTCTTTCAAATAACCTAACTGATTAAGAATAAGCATACCAGAAAAACTGATGGATATAACACGCAAACACAAGAAGCTCAACAAATGTAACAAGGAAATTACCAGCTTTCTTGGCTGCGCGCAAAAGTAGCTCCTCTATTAGGTGCTGTGCAGGATCTCCATCTGGATACTTCTCCATAAAACTCTCAACATCAGAAACCACTTCCTGATTACTCAAGTACTGATATAAGCCGTCAGATGAGAGGACTAAAAATTGATCTCTTGGACACAGTTTATGGTGACAAAGAGAAGGTGAACAAGATATGTACGGTGCAGTACCAATATACTCATTCCGAAACATTTCCAATAATGGATCGTTCCACTTGGGCTGCACCAACATGCAAGTCAAAAAGATCATTAAGCCCCTATATTCCAGGCAAAAAATGTATTATAGACATGCTTGCAATGAACTCATTTCGTCAAATGAATGAACACAGGTGGTTGCAATGTGTGAATCCACCATATGCACGACAATAATTATTACATTTTCAGCATATCATCAACACACCAACTTGATGGTTTCAATGCACATGGTTCAACTAATTACCAAAGTTTTCATGTGATATGCAGTGATTCCAATTTTATTAGCTGGGAGCTTTTGTATCATTTAATTTTTTTTTTATTTCATTGTCAGGCAACCCTATTTTGTCATAGCAGAAATTCTTTACACACATAACAATAACAGAAATCATCAACAAACCTGTTTAAGAAACCCAGCCCCGAATGCACGGGTAACTTTAAGACGGCCTTTTACTCTATCATTGACAATACAATGGCTGTCATCTGGGTGTTCACTCTTGATTCTAATAACTTCCTGCAATAGTTCATGTGAAGAAAGACAATTCTTTAAAAATCTGAGCTGATTTGCATCAAGGACACAACAGAAAAATTAATAAAAGCAAATTATCATCATCAAACAGACGAAATCTAGACTAACCAACTAAGAAACAACAGGACAAAGCAGCACGTCTGAATAATAACATGTTCCACAAGTAAACAAACACATGGGAGTGAAATAAATAATATATTTCTTTTTTCTTTTTCTTTTTTTAATTTTAATGCCTTTGAAGGGAATATTGACCAAAGAATTACAGCGAAAACATACTCAGATAATCGTACCAAAGAAAGAAAAAATTAGTGAAAGTATAAAATTGAGGTTGTGATTTCTCTTCATAGTCACAGACTTACGACTCTACTCACCTAATGTTATAAATAGGATCCCATATCATAGCTAGCCTTCAACTGGGTTAAATGTCAATATTAGGGTCAATTGCTATTGGTAATGGGTCCTTAGATGTCATGCTAACCTCTCACAAATGTAAACTGGGAAGCACAAACACTCCAAAATGGTGGTTATGTTAGTGTCTGACACCGACATGGCATAGACACTCATCTCTACGTATCAGACAAGCATGTCCACCTGTCGGACACGTGATGTGGTGTGCTAATTTTGTAATTATTATTTTTTTTGCAAGAAACTTTGGAAACACGCTATAGACATGCGTGTCCTATCTCTAGACACGTCTCGTGACACCTTTGTGAATTTTTTTATAATTTTGGAAAGTTGATTTAGGGTCAAAGTAAAATATATGAAGAAAAAAAAAATGAAAGTGAAAAAACAAAACAACAAAGAACAGAAATACACCCATATATACATTGATGTCTCTCATATCTCTATGCCCTAAATTTATATTAAAACTTAATATAATTGGAAAATAAAAATATATAGAATATATTTATACAAAGAAGTCAAATGTGAATGTGATGGTCCTCTCTAAGAGAAACACACATCCACGATCTCATCCCTTTTTTTCTCCAAGTCACAAGCTAAGATCAAACTAACAAAGTCTCGAGATGTTTCACCACACATGGTAAACTCATTATGTGTATTGAGGAAATTACCCTAAGACAACATTGTCCTCTTGACCAACCAAGCCACATGCCCCCAAAGTTCCCCGTATATATGGCAGATCAAGGCATGAGACGGCACATGTTTGACCATATCTAACACTTCCTATAGACAATCAAATATCAATCTCTGCAGACAGCATGAACATAACCTTGCAAATGCAAAAAGTCTATGATGGGCAATGAAATAGTCTTCAACACCTTGTAATAATGACTAAATATAGGTGTCAAATATTGTTACAGAATTTAGGCTAGGTTGCCAATTCCTGTGAGACAAAACCCAGAGTTCATACAATCTGCTCCGGCTTGGTTATGTCATATATGGATAGCTAGGTTAGTTCAAGTGTCTGAAGGAATGCAGCTTTGTTGACAGGCACATTCAATGTCAGCTTCGCTTCATTATTCACTTCACACAACTATATTTGCATAACTCTAGGACATGTGGTTTTAAAATTGCACAAATTGACTTAGTTTGGTCCCTTTTTTTCATACATCGAAAATCTATGAAACACGGACACGGACACACGACATGACACGGATACGACACGAACACGTTGACACGCTAATTTTCAAAAAATGCAGGACACGATACGTGGGGGACACGCGTAAAATATATAATTTTATATATTTATTATATGTTATATATATGAATACATCATTCAAAAATAATAAAAAATGTAATATGACATTAATTCTTATAAATTTATATGATTTTTGTTTTATTATTGTAATTTTAGTTGTTTTGTTCAAACTTATAATTAATTTCATGTGTCTAATCGATGCACATGTATTTAAGCGATAGATATGTGTATCCTCCAAGTGTCCAAAGAGTGTCGGACACATATCGGTGAAGTGTCCAAAGAGTGTCGGTGTCCAACACAGACACGTCATATTCTTAGAAGTGTCTGTACTTCTTAGTCAAAAATTGACTTTTAATCTACAAAGAAAATATTTTTTTGCTAAAGCCTGATGAAAGCGCATGCTTGAGTGCACTAGTGCAAGGTCTGCAAAGATCTTGAGAGAAAAATGAGGGGGAAAACAAAAAACAAAAGCAAAAACAAAGGGCATTTGAGTATAAAGCTTAATTTCATGATAAACCTTCAAAAGCCATTCAAAACAATGTTTATCTTCTTTTTTTTTGGTGCATCAGAAACGTAAAACAATGTTTATCAATCACACTATTCATCTTATGAAAATGTTCTAGATTGCATTTTATGCATAAAACCCACACATACTTGCTTGACACATGCAAGTTACAACTATTGGCCGTCTAGTCGCAAGGAGAGGAGATCAGAGCGAGAAGTGTTACTGGACTACCTGATCAAAAGAGTGTGTGAGGTGTTCAAAGCCACGCGGAGAAAGAGCAAGCGAGAAGCTTTGCGGAAAGCTACAGACAGAAGTTGGCTGGGATTTCGTTTGTAAGTACTTTACTCTTGAGTCTTGTAAACTTTTGATAGATAGTATATTTGTTTTAGTAAATTGTCTGTGTCCACTATCTTATTGCGATTTGTGTGTGAATGTCTTTTATCTTTATATACATTGATTATTAATTGGCATAAACAATTATTAAACTAGATTGAACCAAACATTGGTCTTGCTAATCAATAAACATTGGACTTAACTTTAATTGGTAAAATGTTCATTAGGGAGTATTCACCTCCATCTAGACACAAACAGGTTTGTCTCAATGTTTTCAAAGTCAGTATCTCTCTTAATCCTCTAATTTGGTCTATAAATGCAGGGCCATAAACAAAGAATGACATGCTCAAAGAGGAGAAAATCCTCCAAGACTTGCATTTTCCAAATATATCACGTAGCTAGGGGTTGGGAAACAAGGTGCATATTTCTATCTTTCTTCTCTCGAAGGTCCTAGCAGAATTTCAATTTTGTGCATAACCCTAAGGGGCCAAATTACTTAAAACACCGCCTCTTTAAAGCCCATTCAGCAAGTTCACTGATCAAATATGCTAGCTTTGGAATTTATGAAGGTCAGTACGTAATATTTTACCAACCATAGATTTTGGGATTTCTAACCATACCATATCTTCTCATGTAAATCACTATGAGAAATTTATGGAGTTCCAACGCCCCTTATGAGTAACAGATGTTGCTTGGACGATAATACTTATGATGCAAATCCAACCAAAAAAAACTTCAAAGAGAAAACTGAAAAAATATCTTCTCCATCCTTGCAAGCAGAAAACAAAGAAGAAAAGGAGAATTTTTTTTAAAGAATCAATTGATCACATCTTCATTCATCATGAAAAGGCATATTTAAAACCTCTAAGTACTATAGAGTGGCTGACGTCCAATGAGAATCTCACTTGGAGACATTCCCCTTGTTGCAATTCTCTTTTCCAAGACTTTAAGGGCAACTGTGGCTAATAACATATTCTTTAAAATGATCAAATGTCAAATTAAGCATCAATTTAAACAACGGTAAATAATCTATCCCAGTTGTAAACCTACATACGCAACTTCCATCAAGGAGACATCCAACATCAAGAAATGCATACTGCTAGACAAAGGAAGCTTGGTAGGAAGCTTCCTCAAATTATCCTCATTCTTTTGCATTAGGAAAATGACAAAGTGGGTGGGGTCAAACGACGAAAATTGCAAGTAGCATAGGACCAAGGAAAAGGAGGTTTCCTCATGCTTACGGAGGCATTACAAGAGATAAAGTATGAATACTTGTTTCACTTGCATGTGAACAAGCTTCAGGAGTAGAATTTTTTGGGAAAGTTCAGGAGCAGAATTCAGCAGCAGTATGGAAAGGTTTGCCTTTCTTCCAAAGCTAGTCAACTATTAAGTAGAAATATAAAATGTGTGTGGAACCATTTAAGGTTTTGTAAAACAACTCGCCTGCAAACAAAATGGTTTGTGAGCAGGACAACAGCTGTTCTAACATATCTTTGAACATGAAAGACGTGCTTGGATTGGGTAACATCAAACACCTTGTCAAGTTTTCATGAAACCCTTTCATCCACAGTTCATATAATGAGGCAGTAGATCACAAGAAACTGAAAGCTTATTATGTAAGGTATGCAATTCCCAGGATTTCAATATGCAAATCAAATGAAAGAAAATTCAGCGAGAAGAAAGCTATGAGAAGGCTGAAATAAGAACCTAGTTATATGTATACCCACAATATTACCCTCAACATGTCAAGATGCATTGCTGGCAACAAATTTGAAAACCGTTATAACTCAAGTTCTTAAGAGATTTGAATTATACAATTAAGAGATATGGCAAACCATGACATAATATGGCAGAAGCCCATAAGGAAATAGTAAAGGATTCACGGAATTTCCACCAGAATAGATATAGATAGCTAGGAAAAATGGTAAGACTCCTCCCTCCTACCTCTAATTACGAGAATCAAATGATCTATTTCATCCAAAGAACTAACAATGGCAGTGTCTCAACAGCTCCATAAACAGTCAATTCAGAGAAACAGAATGAACTCTCCTAAAGATTTCTAAAGCTAACACGTTCCCAAAACATTTTAAGGTTTTAAACAAATAATAGATTGATTCCCATCAAAGTTACCTTGTTTTTATGGTAAGAAACAAGTTTAAAAAGAAGACCTCAATCCCAAATGTAAATAAAGATTGCTAATGCATATGCATAGTCTCCAACTTCCACTGAATTCTCCAAATAATAAGCAGGTGATTTTGCCATGTTTTATATCCATACAAATTTTATTGATCCAATGTTTTGTGCCCCTAAGATATATTTCAACACAGAAGCCATTGAGCAGTTGAGAAATTTTGATTTAAATTACCGAAGTTAGTACTTCATAAAAAAAAATTAAAAAAAAATTAGACATTTTATTCTGCATTGCCAAAGTTTACGTTCAAGGCCAAGTTAGGACTAGACCTACCAAATTACCAGTAAAGTCTACAACGAACAATATATTCCACAGCACTTCAAGAAGCTAATTTGATATCAAGTCCATATGGATGGAGATGGCAGTACTGTAAAAAATAATACATAAAAAAGAAAACTTGAACAAATTTAAAATCTTCCAAAATCAACACTTACTTCTTCAATGCTTGTGCTGTGATCAGTAGACAACTGCAATGCAGTTAACCTCATAACTTGATTAGGAGCTTCATTTGCCACATTATTCACCCTCTCACCATCGTCTGTGGACTCCTCAACTATGTCCTCCGCATTTGACCCATTATTAACAAGGCCCTTCGACCCCGTGCTAGTACTAATTTCTTCAGGCTCCAATTGTGCCACAATAGCCCTACTATCTCCAACATTCATCACATACACATCCTCATCTCTCATCAGCACAGCCAATAAACACGAACCCATCAAGGCAAGCTCTGGATTCTGATCAAGAACCTTATCTGTCATATCCAAATACGCAAGCTCAGTCACATCAAGAGCCCGTGACATTGCGCTCAAAACCAATTCATGATCAATAGGACCAATTTTTCGCTTCCTACCACTTTTGCTAGTTCTCTCCTCCTCCTCCTCCTCAACTCTATTCTCAGCTTCAGTTTTCTCTTTGGCCTCCAGCCCAAATCTCCATGGAAACAACTTCTTACTGTCCTTGTGATGCTTAATCAACCCATGTTTCAATTTTGTTAACAACAGTGACCGTCTACTCACAGCCGAGCCAGCATTGCTCACGCTAAGCGCATCGTCCACCGAAAATGCAAATCTATCCGAACCAGATAGATCAAGTCCGTCTTCCGGGTCATCTTCGGCAAGAAATTCCCATAATCGTCTCCGTCTAACCTCAATTTCAGATTGAAATGTTACTTTCTTTACTGATCCTCGATCCGATTGAGATAAATCAGATTCATTTCCACAAATTTCAACTTCCCCACAATTCAAAATCTCTCCACCACTACTACCTGTTAATGGGATTGTAATTGTACTCTCTTGTGGACAAGCTTCCTCAGAATCCCAAAACAGACCTTCTAGTTCTTTGTACAGAGCTTTATACAGATTACCCATCAAGAATTCAGGAGCATCAGGGCCGTTAAACCCATCATAAATCCCAACAAACAACCACCCATGTTCTTCCGATACAACCACATGTACCCGATCCTCACCTGCCTTCCCTAAAGCCCACTGAACATTACTCTCCCTCTTCGTCTCCGACTCACCTCCCTCTCCGGCGACCTCTTTCCGGCCGACGAAGTTCCTCACCGGCACAACCCACGGCCTCTTCTTCTCCGAAAAATTCCTCGAAAAGGCCTTTCGAATTCCCGTTATACCCTTCTTCCTCCTCTTTTTTACGTAAACGCCACCGAGCGGCGCCGAGAAGGGCACACCGCCGCCGTCCGAACCGCCGGCCGACGGTTCGAGCGGTCCGGAGAGGGCGCCACGCTCGATCGGACCGGACATGAAGAACGCCCTCTCCATCGGACCGGACGGTTCGCCGCCGCGAGGAATCGGTTGGAGCGGCAAAGCACTAAACGACGACGTGCAATCGAACCCATTCACAATACTGGACTTCACACCACCACCAACAGAGTCAGTGGCATCGTCGTAAATATTGTCGAGTTGAAGGACTGTTCGGGGAGTCGAAGTGTTCGCGCTCACCGAGGCGCCGGAGATGGCTTTGAAGACGGGTTCGGGTAAACCGGGCGGTCTGGACTTACCCGGGACCGGTTCGTGAGAGGGAGAGAAGCGGAGGGAGTGAGTCGGAGAGAGAAAACGATCGGAGGGAGTAGGAGAGAGGAAGCGAGCGGAGGAGCGGACGTAGCAGAAGGAGTGACCTAGGGTTTCGTCGAGCGGTTCGGAGGAGGTGAAGATCAGGTCCCGGTTGTTGGAGTCGGCCCGGTTCGCCGCCGGATTGAAGCAAGGGAAGAGTTGCGAGAACCCACTTCCCATCACATTTGATTCAAAAGCTCAGCATCAGAGAGAGAGAGAGAGAGAAATGATTTACTGGTAGAGAGGGAAAATGTAGAGAGAGACAGAGAGAGAGAGAGAGGGGTGGGACTGGTTTTGTTTTTATAATGTTTGTTGATGAAGTAAAAAAGGAGGAGACGACTTATTACTTGTTTTGTTTTTGTTTTTTTTGGAGAGAGAAAATTGATAGTGATACATATAAAGAGAGAGAAATTAAGAGGAATTATTCGGTCTTCTAAAAACTTCAATTAAAGTCGCATATTTTTTTAATTTTAGCGATTGTTTTATTTAATATATAAAAGAAAAAAAATAGATATAAAATTAATAGAATTACAAATACATATCATGAGAATATGGAGCAAAACTATGTGATAATATTCGAGAGAGAAAGTGATGAGTGAGTCCCAAGTGAGAATTGTGTAATTGAGATTGAATTTATTTAGTGTAGCATCGATGTGTAGAATAAATATAAACAATTCAAGATAATTTTTAGAGAGTTAAGTTTGAGTTTATAATATTACTGTCCTTTTAGTATTTTGTCTTTAAATTTTGAAAAAATTAGATAAAAAAATCATGATTTAACCCTTGTAATAAAATAAATTTTAAATTTATATTCTTATTAATTTAAATGATAAGTTTTTTATTTATTTTTAATCTTGTTAGTTTAAATGATAAATTTTTTTATTTATTTTTAATCTAAACTATTTATTTATTTTCATTAAAATCAATAAAAAATAAATATTTTAGTCAAATAAATAAGATAAAATTAATATTTTATTTTATTATAAGGGTGAAATCCTTAAAAAAAATTACAATTGTCGCCTAAAATTTTAGGTCAAAATTTTTATTTTTCATTTGTGTTAATTTTATTTTTTATCAAAATAGATAAGATATAAATGACAAAAAAATTAAAAAAAATGTTTTACACATTTACCAACATTAAACAATGCATAAAGAGAATTGGTTAGCCTTTGCCAAAATAAATCACCAATTATTCTATTAATTGTTCCCATTTGAGTGGTTAGCAATTTAGTTTGTAATTGTAACAAATCTCCATTTTTATTTTTTAAGTCCCTGTAAAATATCTAAAAAAATAATTTTAAAAAATTCAAAAAAGTTGATAAATTTTTTTTAAAAAAACTAGTTTCTTTTTATTTTTTATATTTTCTTAATTTTTAGAAAAATATTTTACTTTTCTAATTTGTTTAGTTAAATATAATTTAAATATTTAATTTTTGTAAAAATAATTAAAATTTTACCAAAAATTAAAAAAAAAATTAAAAATCTCTCTCTAGGCTTTTCTATTTTTTTTCATTTTTCTTTTGATTTCTTTCTTTCTTTATTATTATTATTTTTTTATTGAATTGTTCTGTTGCTGTGCTGGTGTTTGTTGGTTCTCCGTTGACGATTGACACCTGGCGTTTTCGTACTGTTACGGTTATCAAACCCATTTGAAAAATGTTAGAGATCTCAAATTTTCTACCAAATAAATGACTAAATGTCTCACATGGGTGTGGGACCTACAAAATTGCGGACCCCAGACATTTGGTCATTTGTTTGGTAAAAAATTTGATGTCCCTAACATTATCTATCAAATTTTTTAAAGTTCTGTTTGGGATTCATAATATTTTGTTAAATATTCTATCAAACCTTTTATATGGGTGTATGACCTATGTGAATTTGTGTCACTCTTATTTCATGTAAATTTTTTAAATATTTTACTAAATAAATTATCAAATACTTCAGATAACCGTTCACATAGTATTTTTTTTTTAAAAAAAAAGAGATGAGTCCACGTCATCTGCCAGATGGGCATTTCAGGGGCAGCCAGAGGCGCAACCTAGTTGGACACTTTTGGATATATTTTTTGTGAAATTACGAATGAGTCCTTGAATGTTTCTCAAAAGCGAAGTTATATATGAGCACTTTCACAAATTCAAAAAAAACTATCAAAATTTTATTCTTAAAAATATAATAATGTGTGGTATAAATTCATTTTAGAGGTAACTATTTAAGAATTATCTAGATGATTTATCAAAATTTTAAGTTTAAATTTTAATTTCTTTAAATTTTTTTAGTGAACCTGTTTAATGCAATTTATTATAAGTTAAAATATAAATAATTACAATATAAAAGTCGAAAGCATTTTTTCTCAATTTTTAGATAATCAATTTATTTATATTATTTATGCCTAATAGATAATAAATATAAATGCACAAATACAAATTTTCAATTTAAAAAAAAAACTATAAAAATCATTTAAATTGTAATAAACACATAGGTCAACCGATAGAAAATGGGCGGTTGAAATAGTTTTGTCCTGTCCTCTTGAGGCCTGACTCAAGGCCCTCAGAGCCCAAGCCCATCTTTTAAGAATCTTTCCAGTGTTTCAGGCTATTTGACTATTTTACCCTCAGTTCAAAAATAAAAAAAATAAAAAATGTTTTTTAAAAGAATTCTAGAAACAGCCTATTTTTAAGAAATAATTTTAAATTTTTTCTGAATTTTTTTAAAACTATTTTGCTTTGAAAATTAAAGCAATATAAAAATGATGATATTTATGAACTTTTTAGTTATTTTGTTTTCAAAAACACATAAATGAAAAACAAAAAAATTTGAAACAATAATAGATAGGGGTACTTACATGTAGTCCTAATAAGTAGACTTATGTCTCGTTTGGGAATAAGTTAATTTAGTAATTTTTTAGTTATTTGGCTAAAATATGAGCTAAAAAAATTAGTATGTTTGGGATAACTTTTTGAATTTTTACGAAAAGATGTGTCAAAAGTAGAGAGAAAAGAGAATCTTTGACTTTTTTGTATAGATTGTTGACTTTTTGGCTAATTTAGTAACTTTTTCCCTTTTTGGCTAAAAGGGAGAGTTCCCAAACGAGGCCTTATTGTTTAATAAGTCTTATGAAAAAAATTTGTCATAAAAAAAGTCACTAATTATAAATTTTAGCGATAATTTATAAAAATCATCACAAAAAAAAAAATTACTAATTGTCAATTTTTAGCGACATATAAAAAATTGTCACAAAAAATTTATTTTTAGTAACAATTTTACTAAAACTTATTTTCAATAGAACATAATAAAAATTAAATTAAATTATTAAAACTTATTAATAGTTTACTTTAATAAATAGGCCTAGCTGGCTGCCAAATGTACTTAATTGCTGGCATAATTATTTACAGTAAATTTTTCATAACTAAATGCAATGCACCCATATTATGGTCTATTCCATTAATTTTGTGCTCCAAGTAAGCACTGGTTTGGCATGTAGGTTGCGTGCGTGGGTGGATGGGGTTAAAATAGTTACAAAAAAATAAAATATATTTTTTAATTTAAATTAAAAAATGTCACATTTAAATTATAATTATTTTTATTTTTATTTTTTTATAAAAGTTAAAAAGTCCATTTCCAAACGAGATTTTTTAGCCCCAGACTAGGGGTTATTTGGGATATTCTAAATAAGTGTACTTTTTGTCTTTTTAAACTAAAAAATTGAGGAAGAAAATATGGATGTTTGGGTTAACTTTTTGACTTTTTATGAAAAATGTGTAATAAAAAATTGTAAAAATTGATTTGTAGAGAAAAATTAGGATTGAGAGTTGTGCAGTCATAATTATTGACTTTTTGTGAATAGTGTTAACTTTTTAACTTTTTGAGTAACTTTTTGACTTTTTGACTTTTTTACAATATGCCAAACTTGACCTAATAGTCAAAAAGCCAAAACACCAATCCACATCCCAAACAAAACCTTAATTATACTAATCCACATACTCACCATTTTTTCAAGCTAGGACATAGGGGTGGGCGCGGATCGATTGCGGCCACGAAACCTCCAATCCGTCATCCGTCCACCAAATTAGCGGATTGGAGAAAATCAATCCGCATCCGTCTGCCAATCCAGCGGATGCGGATTTGACGGATTAGCGGATGGATGCGAATCGGTTTGGCGGTTTGAAATTTTATAAATTTTCAACATTAAAAACAAAAAAACAAAAAAAAAAACGTTTGAATTATGCCCATTGTATTTCAATCCATAAGTCAAACAGGTTGCATTACAATTCAAACAGGTTGCATTCAAGAGGAGAGTGAATTATGTATTTTTGCATTATGTATTTCAGTGTATTTCAGTCAATCCATGGTCTACAGCATGGGCTTATGAAATCAGAGGATATGGATGCAATCAACATGACTCAGCAAGAAAAGGTTCTTTTACTACTACTATCAAACCCCCATTTTCTTTAATATTCCAATACATAAATCAATCAAAACTATCTATGACCTCTAATTAAAGGTTTTTTTAATGATTCATACTATAGGATGCACTGGAAATAAGGTCATACCTCCATGATCGTGCTCTGATTCAATATGGAGATAAGCTTGAGTCCTTTGGGAAATCTCTTCAGGAACTTCTTGAGTTAAGTACCGATGAAATTTCTTCTCAGCTTGGTGTGAAGAAAGGCCATATTGCCCGTTTCATAGAAAAAGGAACCAGTAATTCTTCTGCACCAGATCCTTTACAGCAGCCACCCCAGGCTCTCACTTCAAGCAGAAAAACCTCCAAAACTTCTAGTAACAATAGCATTCACAAGGGTGAGTTGAGTTTATTCAATTTCTGTCAACTGTAGAAAAATATAATATATCTATTTCTGTATCTAAGGGAAAGAATAAATGTTGTAATGCAGCTTATGGGGCTTGAATCCAAGGGGCACCAGAGTAATCGACTGGCCTTGACTCAAGGAGAGAAGAAGACCAAACACAGATATAAAATCACAGACTGACACAGATAGAAATCACACAGACACATAACTGTAACAAAACAAAAAAAAAATTAAAAAAATAAAAACAGTTAGAGATTCAGGAGAAGAAGACAAGAAGAGGAAAGATGAAGACAAAAACAGAACTCACCACCAGTACCATGCTCAACGATCCTCTTTCAGTCGAAGAAAGGGGTAGGCCCTAACCGTTAGGGTTTTAATCTGAGATTCTCAAAAAATGGAGTAAAAAAAAAAGAAGCAGATCTTCGATCGGCGATGGAGAAGATCGTCGAATGATGAGAAAGTCGCCATCGGTAGATGGGTAGGTAGGGTAAGG